GCGTCTTTTTATTAGTAACATAGTTTATTAAAGCGATCTTCTTTTGTATTAAAACAATAATGGGCGTCACGATCATTTACGTAGTGATATCTAAAAATATCCAATAGTATTTTATTTCTTTATCCAATAGAGAATGTATTTAACAGTAGCCTAATTGTATATATTTTTTATGACGAAAGAGGACAAACAAGCATGTATAACATACACTGGCCATACATCTCAACAAGAGGCTGAGATTTTTTGCTTTGGATATTTAGAGATATGCGATTAAAATCATGACTTGGTTTGTATTAACCTGTTCACAATAAATTTTAATGAAATAATCTAATATATAAAATTCTCGTGTCACAGTTTTCGTTGCCATACTCCTCATTCCGAAACGGCTTGACCGAATTTGATGAAATGTTTTGTGCTTATACGGTATCTATGAGAATCAGCCAACATCTATTTTTCATCTCCCTAAATGTTAGGGGTAGTCCACCCATACATTTTTATTTTTATTTTTTAAACAAAATTTTTAATTTCTATATGATACAACATACAATCCCCAATTTTCACCTTTCTACGATCAACCCTTATTTTTAATTAGCCATTTTAGTAATTTAATCATTTTTCCTCTCCGGTCGAAAACCAATCAATCGTCATTTAATTAGTTATAAATTATTTATATGCCAAAACAACGTTTGCCGGGTCAACTAGTAACCACAACTGATGTAAAGCATCCGAAACGTAGAGTTAATAATAACTGAACTTACAGTACGTACGAGTATTTAAACCCTTAAAACTGCTTAATTTATTTTTTTTGGAATTCAAAAGTAATTTAGTTTTATAATATATAATAACATTATTATATAAAAGTTAATTTATATGTACCTAAACTTAAAAAGACAAAACTTATTTACCAATTAGCTATAATACAAAAAACAATAAAAAATAGACATTTTTAAGGGACACTTTCTTAAAATTACAATGAAACTTACCTGAATGTAGAACTGGTATCGTATTTTCCTAATTATTCCTGCTTTATGTTAACAAGACGGGAAAAAATATAGTTATTATCTGTTACAAAACGAGGACCTCAGTACCATTATAAGACGTAATTAGAAGTAAGTGGCCATTGTTCTTGATAAATAGAGGGACCAATAATAAATTTCCACCTTTTTATTCAGGTGCTTTCAGTTTATTTTAGATTAATTAATTCTTGGATCCGATGTCGTTCAATACTTGAAAGGACTTATTGTTTTTATGAAGTGTTATGAAAATTATTTTACACATATTATTTAGGTGGGTATCTACTAGGTATCACATGTTACAAGTCTTGCACCTCGTTAGTAGTATTAGCATAGCAATATGGGTATCCAATGGCTTACTATGGGGTTGTAATTATAATACCATCACTTTTAAAAGGTGTTCCAAACATTTTTTTCCTATCAATGTATCGGTACATAATAAATAACTTTAACACATCAATACAAATCGCATTTATATTTAGTTTTGACGATAAGTATTGTCTTTTTACACGAGTTATAACGAGTCGTGCCGTGACCACGGCTGCTGGAAAGCATCCGAAACATCGGGTCCAAATTAAAAATCATTTTCAAATAAGTTTAACTAATATATCGCGTTTTAAACCGTTAAAGTGTTTTATTTCAATGTGTACTACTCGCGTAAACTATAGACAGTATTTACACTATACTTAGTTACAGTTATAGTAGCAAACAATTTTAGCTAAATATGAAATTTTACTCTATTTTATTTGTAAATCATACACGTTAAACAAAAAAGTTCAACATTATTAATAAAATACTTATTATTAAACACTAATTTCAACAGGTGGTGGGTTGGATCCCCACAATTCAATGTGTTTCTAATTAATTTATTGTTTAGAAATAATGGGTATGAAATGAAAAAGCTGTGTAATTTAATCACGTTTCGGTTTAGCCTGTAGATTTCCGAAAGGTAAAAAAAATCAACGGCACATCTTGCTCAGATGTCATGTGGCTGGTGTATATCTCCTTCCATAAAACCCTATGTTTGTCTGCCCTCCTTTAAAACAGGTTAATATAACTGTTAACATTGGGTAAAGTGTATTAATAAAGTAAGCCTTTTCATACAATTCACGCTTAAATTGAAACAAATTGCTAACCAAACGCAACACACATTATTTGCTTGGCGCGAATCGCATAAATTATTTGATGAACGCGAGGCGTGATGAATCCACAAAATATTTCGAAATACTTCATTAGCGTCTCTAATGACCAATTGTGCGGCCGAACCCGCGTTTATCAATCTACTTCGTGAAAATATTTAGTTATTACCTGCTCGAGTAAGATTTACGATTCACAGACAATCGAGGACTAAACGTGGACATTTGAAAAACTATTAATGACAATTTATTTTTTAATGTGTTTATTTCGTTTGTGTAAGTTATAAACACGTAACCATTTTTTTGGTCTGTATATTTTTATTTTTAAGTTTTTTATATTTATTATAATTTTTTGTATTAATTTGTTTCGACTACATTGCACATCTCATTTTATTTTATTTCATTTCCTTAAATTTTAGGTTGCCTGGAAGAGATCGCTTGTTAGCGATAAGGCTGCCCATTGCACTCCATTCTAGCATATAAGCACTATCTTTATTATTATTTTGTTGTGCAATAAATAAATAAAAGACAACCAACTTTAAATGTCAAATGACAAATGAGGTTTAATGAAATAGTTCTATTTCTGTTCCGGTTTTACCACCGTAAATGGTTAACCGCATTGCCCAGCATCAAATTAAGGTCGTAGGCTCGAGAGGTTCTGGGTTCGAATCCCGGGAAAATAATACAGAATCAATCGGGCTTAGTCTGATCAACAATTTAACCGAAATAAAAACGATCACTGAAACGGACTATATTTATCTTCATAGATGCAATGGCATTTCACTTTATAGTTCTATTATACTTTGTAGTATTGCACTTAGTAAGATTAAAAGAAATACTTTGCGCGGTTTAAGTAAACATTAGTCAAAGTTATTCGAAATTCATCTCTTTATCACCTAAAATGGTGGTTCCGGTAAACATTGTACTGTTGTATGCAACATTAATATTATAAAGACTGTAAAAGTCCAATAATTGGTAATACATACTACATTTACTTCGAGTAAATTTGATTTGAAAAGGATATTCTTTAGGAACGTTAAAAGAGAAATCATTAATTTATACATATTTGGAAATGGAAAATCTGAGAAAATTAAAAAAAAATATATTTTTTTTAAATGTTCTCAGAATTTCGCAGCGTGATGTTATATATTGTCTACCTCGATAAATGGTCTATCCATCCCAATTCAATTCGAACTACTACTTTTTGAGATTAGCAAAGAAATCAATTTTATAATATCAGTAGGGATTAAACTCTGTGCCCAGCTAAAGTTAAACCACGGTTAAACAAATGGGAGGTGGCAGTGTGTGGCAGTGTTAGACACAATACATTGTAATTGAATGTTGTCTGAAGACGTCGTCGTTGTGTTATCAGAACAATCGTAAGATCATTAAAACTGTATCTTAATGTTGAAGACAATGGAAGTGATGAGTTGACAAATTTTTAATCCGACATTAGTTATTTAACGTTTATATTTTCGGTAAGCGGTTTTGGATTTGTATAAGGGATACATTTTAAAAGGTTTGTCATGTAGAATATGTATGTAGTAACTGCTTTGATGTATAAAGTTGTGGCTCGTTGATATAGTGGAATATACTTATAATCAATGCAGGTACGATCCTCACGGTGCCCAACATGTTTCCAAACAAATTATTATATCTCTGAAACACGATGAAAACTGATTCGTCAGATTAAATAGGTGGAATCGAAATTCGGCCCGGGTCATGAACCACCGTCCACAAAATAGATGAACAGCGCAGCTTATTCTGATGGTACATGTCTGAGGTTGAGTCTCTCCGTGACCACGGCTGCTGCAAAGCATCCGAAACGTCGGGCCGAAGTTAAAAATCATTTTTCAAATAAGTTTAACTAATATATCGCGTTTTAAATCGTTAAAGTGTTTTATTTAAATGTGTTCTACTCGTGTAAACTATAGACAGTATAAAATTTATTAATTATGTAATACGTATTCTAACATCGCCTTTGTTGTATTCTTTATGCATTCAGTAGTTTACTTTTATGTACGTAAATACCATGTTTGTGTAACCATTTACTTATAGATCTTAATATCTACTCATCATAGTGAGCTTTACGCTTTATTTTAACACTGCAAGCTGCAAAAGCCGAGTACAACAATACGAAATAGAAATGAAATCGGCCAATCCATCTACAGTGAAACAAGTGGCCTGTGTTCGGGGACCATAACGTTGGCAGCAGTCCATAAAGCTCGCAAAAAAACTAGAAAACAAATAAATGTCCGTCGTCTGTTATGTCAAATGTGTGCAATACGTGCGCCCGGAGCACGACGCTCACTGATTTTATAGCGCCATAAAATCTCGTAAAACGCGACCTTAAATCACAGAGCTACGTCATATTTCATCGTTCCGCTTGTCAATGTTTATTTTATATCATATTTTAGAGATTCCCCCCGAATAAATCTCGTTCAGATTGATATACATTAAGGTCACGTAGTTTTGGCAGCGGCGCTTAGTTACACTGTTTTCCCGCGCTGCGGTTTGAGCCATGTTGACATGTGGCAGCTATTATTGTTGTATTTTAGTAAAGTACGAGCATTTATTTCGTGGCTAGATTCCCTCGGAACGTTCTTTATTCGAAGTACAACCTATTTTCTTTTGAGTTTTCGGTTACAGTTGCAATTTCTTAGCGAGATGAAATATTGGAATATTTGAGTAAAAGTGAGCTTTTGCTTTCGGCTTCATTGTTGTCGCGTAAAGCAGTTTGTTTTAAAACGTATCAGTTTACAACGGAGAGGTCAACACTCAACTTGAACTCTGAACCGTTAAATGATCGGGGTTGATGCACGTCATCGCGCAGAAGTAATCCACTTAGGATTAGTCAGCGAGAAGGGCTCGCCGCGACGCGACACGAGCTGTTAGCGTTCAGCTTGTAAAAGGCGTCGACAGCATTGTTCGCAGTTGTATTAGGCTTTAATCCTGTCGCGAGCCGCGAGCACTCGTTAGGCCGATTGTTTGTCGCAGCAGATGGTCGCCGTAATCCGAGCCGGCACAGGCTGCCCGTACCTCCCCCCTGTCTCCCGCCCGCGCGCCCCCCAGTCTTCCTCGACGAAAATATAGCCTCTTTGTGTATGTTGCATCTGCAGGTAAATTGTGCGCTAAAATTGGGCCGTACGTTACTGAGAACGTGCCCCTTTCATGTGGATGCAATTGCAATGAGTTATACGCGAAAATGCATTGTTATCAGCGCAGCTTTCTTGTGTCATTCTTTATTCAGGAGCGTGAAAATAATTCGCGCAACGCCTTTTCAACTGACGTGTGTTAGCGTTTCATTGTAATGTGGATTGCGCGTTATTAAAATAAGCGGGCACTTCTTTTTAGGGTTACGCTGCCAAAGTTTAAAAACAAACGTTTAAAAGTTTGCTGTCTGTCTCTCGGTTTGTTTGTTTGTCACTAGATGTCACTGTATAACAAGAAACATGATTCCTAGACAGTAGAAATTTTTACAAATTTTAACTGCGTTCTTAGTAATTTTTGTTTGTTATCAACAAATAGAAATAGGTAGGAAGTTAAAATTTTAAAAAGAATATAATATGTTATTTGTGTACCGACTGTTGTTTACTAAGTCAATTGCACGGAACCCCTCGTCACCGTGTGTGACTCGATGTTCGTGTTCGTGTAAAGGCTGTCTCCACAACCATGCTAAATAGTAGATAGGTATAAGATACACGATATACCTAACCGCCTGATGACAATATATTGCCATGTTATTCGTCAAATTTCGTATACAATAACAGTATACAATCTAACATTATTTCAACATATTTTATATATACCAATTGTTCACAACACTGTGTACACTAGGTCACAGCTATTGTTAATTGTACTGACGCGTACTGTCCACGCATTTAAAATTAAAACACACATTTTAATGCAAAGTATCTTCGGAATGTAGTCGCAGTTATGAATACAAACGATAGTACCGTAAACTCATAAAGAAACTCATACATCACTGTTAACATTAACGAAAACTGGAAAATAGTAGCAATAATAGCTCGCAGCGGACGATTGCCAGGTTATGTTGACTCACGAAACGTATAACATTCCCATTCCGTAATGTTTGTTCAGAAAGCTTTTGTACACAGTATTTGAAAGTGCAATGTTCCAGTGATTAGGTGGATGGGGCCGGATGATCTAGTTCCACTGTTGTCATTAACATCTTATTAACATATCCAAACATCAGTCACGCTTAAGACGGTAAGGGTCAACGCTCACTGGAATTATTATAAATGAAAGTGACAAATGACAATTGACAAAAGCAAGGCTTTTGATGGACCACGTGATCTTTTTGCCTTCAGGTCAAGACATCTTTCATATCTCCTAAAATTCCATGAATAAATTCCTACAAATAACTTAACTTTTTTTGTTCTTTGAACCGCCTTAATAAGGAAATGGCAATACTTATAAAAGTGTGAATACATATCTGAGAATCGGATATCTACTATTTAAGTCTGAACTATGTTTGCTGTTAAAATCACCGTTAGCTAAAAAGCGCGAAAACATATTTTTGCAAACTTTTACCATCATAAAAAAAGTGCACAAGGGGATTTATTGGGTCACTTTCACAATACATTTATAATAATGTGTTGAATATTCATACTGATTATTAGCTCTATGTCAATTATTGTTAGCAAAGTCTGATATGCCTGGGCTCTTTTTCATATTCTTACAATTGTTGAATTAATAAAAATAGTTCCTCTTTAATAGAAGATTGCGTGCATCAGCTGCACACTTAGAAAAGATAACATGTCCGTGGTAATATCTTGCAATAAGAGGAAGTAATTTCGTCGCCATATGTCACAGTGACACATACGTGACGCGTCATATCCTAAGTTGAATGTGAGCCGAGCTTTACACAATCCGCAGAGGAATAGTGGCTTTTGGGCACTCGAAGCGCAATTATTGTACTTTGGCTATTGTCCGCACAAACAGTGGATGTTTGTTGAGCAAATGTAACCGAGCGAGCAACCAGATTAGCCTTTTGTTTGTTGTTCGAATTTTAAAACATTTGTTTGTCTTTTGTCGCTGAATTTAAAAACAATAAACCTACATTGTCTAAGTTTAAAAACTTTGTTTTTATCAAGGATCGAACCTTGAACTTAAGTAAGATATGTTTACTAACAACACTAATAGTGACTAAACGTACGTTTAAATAAAACACTTTAACGGTATAAAACGCGATATATTAGTTAAACTTTTTTGAAAATCATTTTTAACTTCGGCCCGACGTTTCGGATGCTTTGCAGCAGCCGTGGTCACGGGGAGACCCCCCCGTGACAACGGCTATATATCGCGTTTTAAACCGTTAAAGTGTTTTATTTAAATATGTACTACTCGCGTAAACTCTAGACAGTATTTAAATGTACATTTATAACTATACAATAAATCTTGTTTAATAAAATACAAGGCGATAAGAAATGTTTGTCTGTAGATTTTGAAGATATGAAAACTTGCGTAAGGATGAAGGAAAAAATACAAGCATGGACATCACTTGATGGTAGGAGAAAATCCCAAGCCATGTAACATCTAAATAAGATATGCTGTCAATATATTTTGGCTTTGGATATTCATTGGATAACCTGTCTGTATGTAACGTTATTCTTCGAAACAACCAAGTTCACTGATACTTAGACTTAGCTTGTAGCAACATTTGTTTCATAGAATCAGACGAAGAAGAAGAATTATAGATATTGTCATAAGATATTGTAGTTAAACGCTTAAAAAGTTAAAACGGATTTGAAACAACTTGTAGTGTTACGGTAGATTTATAAATTGTTTGAATTGACATGAAGTTGTTTGGATTTTTTTTTTAATATCTAACATAAGCACGCTGCCGAAAGTCCATTTTGCATGCAGATGTAGTTAAAGAAAGCAAAGAATAAGTGAAATTAAAAAATATTCTTACAAAGACTTTTCCATGTCTACATTTTAAATTAATTTCACGAAGCCAAACGTAATAAGAAACATCTAATTTAATACCTTTAAATCAGATGGAAAAATGTACTACGCTATTTAATAGAATGCTTAATGAGTTTTGTTAAGCTTCTGGCTTTATACACAAAACAAGAGTACTGTAGCGTTATTCTTAAATATTATTACGCAAAAGGAGATACAGTAAAAATAAACCTTATTTAATTCCGGAATTTAGTTTGCAATTTTTACCGCTTCGTGGGTAAATGGTGGAGAGAGAGGTTCCCAGAAGATGTTCCTAGGTTCAATGATTATTTTGGTCATCAACTACTTGCAAGTAAATAAATTTAATCAATCTCTTATACCTATTAGTTTTTTGAGAATTTACTTTTTTGTTAGAGGAAAACAGACAAGCGCCTGACGGTAGTACGGAGTACCCCAGACATATAGCATCCGAAAAAAAAGGGCTCAACCTATTTTGGCGTCGGATTTTCGGAAACTGAAAAATTAAGACGCGTTTTTTATTTGAGGACGGTGGTTTGTGCATTTAACATTCAGGTCTCAAGATAAAGTCTAGGTTGTTTAAAAAAAATGATCCCGACTAGACCAACGGGCCCGTAAGCTATACTATACATAGTAATACAAATTTTCGCATCGCATAATACAATATGTTACTATAGGAAAATGTATTTAATACGTGCATTCTTCGGATGCTATTTAATTTTAAACCGAGACTAATAAAAAGGTTATTATAGTCATTAAAGATACAAGTAAATATTACGATGGTATCCAAGATTTTCGATACAACTTACAACGCTCTCAAAGTTAATCTTGTTAAAAGTTTTGCGAATTTTGTTTAGTCTATATAAAAGGAAAGTTATAAGTTACATTAAATTAACGAAGCTGTACGTTTTCAAGCTGATTATTATTATCCGGCTTAGTTATACGGCTCGGAAAAATTTAAGAAGGTTGATAAGCATTTATTATTTACGGAATATTCTACCACCATCACCACCATAAGATTATGGTGGTGGTGGTAGCAATGTATGCTAGAAATAGATTGAAATGTCTGTGATAGACTAAAGCCATATTTCTTCGTATTTAATACAACCTTTTACAACCAAGTAGTTGTACATCCCAGGGACTATTGACGTATTTCCATTGAACCACAAGGACAATAAACACAAATTTTCAAAGATTTACGTTTCTAGAATGTTCTAAGTTACTAAGAAGGTAATAAATTCCTTCAAATATACTGTATATTCTAGACGCTAAAATGAAAAATATACATGGAATGTACCAATGTACGATATTAATTTATTTGTACAGGTACGCATTTTAAATAAAACACTCTAACGGTTTAAAATGCGATATATATTAGTTAAACTTATTTGAACTGCGGCCAGACGTTTCGGCTGCTTTGCAGCATTCGTGGTCACAGGGACTCTCCTCAAAAAAGTTAAACTAATATATATCCCGTTTTAAACCGTTAAATGGTTGTATTAAAATGTGTTATACTTGCGTCAACTACAGTGAGTATTTAGAGGTATTTTGAGACCTAATCTTCCGTTTAGATGTACGTGCTTCATTATGTGACAATTATAAATATTCAAGTCATATTTCCCTATCCATTGTCTCTATAAGTAAAATAGTACAGCGATGAATTATAAACAAAACTCAATAATGTTCAATCTCTACATTGTCCATATAGATAGGGCATCATACCAATATTTATCCGTAAGTACCAAATTGGCCGTATCAAAGATATCGTTGTCTTGATAACGAGCTTATAAGGCAAGCTTTTAGCCACGCTCTAAGCCTTCGGTTCCGGTATTCGTACTTTGTATTATAAAGTCAGCGATTGTGGTTATACGGGGTTAAGAAATATGGGAGGTTGATACAACATTTTATAGTTACGCAAATTAAAACATAAATCCACAATACTAATAATAACACTGTCAAGTATTGTCTATAGTTTATGCGAGTTAAATATTTAAATAAAATACTTTTAAAGGTTCGAAACGACTGTCACTAATTCATAATTTGTTATAGTGCGCGTTTTTATGTACTATTATTTACTAATGGCGTTGATCAAAAAAATATAGTCTTGGTTGGTTATAATAAAGTAGATAAGTTTAGTCTTAACTTTGTCTTCTGTTGCAAACTTTTAAATAAGTTTACATCTTCAAAGAATAGGCATATAAGTTCTTTATTGCATATAAAAATAGATTCTACGATCTTTACCCTATAATCTATCACATGGAGTACTATAAAATAGAAATATCTATCTGTTCTAATAATGATTCTATTACGGATGTAAATAAAATGTTTGGTTTTTGTGTTACTTTTTATTTTTCAGAACGAAAGTGACCTATAGTTTTTTTTTCTCTTCAAATTAAGATAAAACTTAAAAATATATTGCATTCTCAATCAAAACAATTTAAGCTTTTCTAAACACGGAGTTTTATAATTCGATTTGTAAAACCGAAAACACACGGGTGGATATATAGTAGATTGTATTTCGTTTATTACTTGTAACTCGTTTGAAGAAATACAACGGCAACCTTTGATCATCATGGCTTTATAGTAAACCGACCCGATTCAATTTGATCAATCAATACATCATCACATTATGGCTATCTTTATCATCAAGTTCTGCGAGAAATCTTCCACTTAATACAAGTGATGCCGCTGTTAGAAAATTAATAGCCACTAAGTTAATAAATTTATCTAATGCTGTTTAAGAGATTAATTGTGAGATCTCAGAAACCAACTGAAGTAAATATATATGTTATA